GCATTGGTATAAACAAGGCCTACTGAGAATGGTATTTACACTCTATTGTACATAATATACCATATATGCTTTGGTATAAACAAGGCCTTTCGAGAATGGTATTTACACTCATTTGTACATAATATACCATATATGCATTGGTATAAACAAGGCCTACGGAGAATGGTATTTGGACTCATTTTTGTACATCATATACCATATATCCATTGGTATAAACAAGGGCAATGGAGAACAGTATTATGTACTCATTTATACATAATATGCCATTGGATTAGAGTTAAAGGTTCGTCAGTATACAGTGTATTAGGTACCATACTAATGTAGTGGGTATATGATGTTCCCAATTTAGATTTGAGTCTATGCATGTAGTGTTTTCAGTTAAGAGCTGGTTATGCAGTGTTACTGGTTTAGATTTGAGTGTATACATGTAGTGTTTTCAGTTAAGAGCTTGTTATGCAGTGTTACTGGTTTAGATTTGAGTGTATACATGTAGTGTTTTCAGTTAAGAGCTGGTTATGCAGTGTTACTGGTTTAGATTTGAGTGTATACATGTAGTGTTTTCAGTTAAGAGCTTGTTATGCAGTGTTAATGGTTTAGATTTGAGTCTATGCATGTAGTGTTTTCAGTTAAGAGCTGGTTATGCAGTGTTACTGGTTTAGATTTGAGTGTATATATGTAGTTTTTTCAGTTAAGAGCTTGTTATGCAGTGTTAATGGTTTAGATTTGAGTGTATACATGTAGTGTTTTCAGTTCAGAGCTGGTTATGCAGTGTTACTGGTTTAGATTTGAGTGTATACATGTAGTTTTTTCAGTTAAGAGCTGGTTATGCAGTGTTACTGGTTTAGATTTGAATGTATAGTGTTCCCATTTTAGAGATGAGTGTACAGTATTCCCAGTTTAGGTCCAGGCGTAGAATGTTTTTTATAGATTAGGGTGTACAGTTTTCCCAATTTAGATCTAGTTGTGTAGTGTTTCAAGTTTAAATCAGGGTGCACAGTGTTGCATGTTTAGATCAAATTGTATAATGCTGTCCAAAGTTATTAGATAAAGATGTATGGTGTTTCATGTTAGACACCAGAATGTTCTCATGCATAAAGGAAATTGTTTTAGTATACTCTGAATATCAGCATAATGAGAATACAATATTTTTTGGGGTTACAGATTGCTATAGGGTATAAGTAGTAGTAGTAGTATTTGTAATAATAATAAAAATAATAATAATAATAATAACAACAACAACAACAACAACAACAACAACAACAACAAATTTATCTCATTTACAGAACTAATCTACCTTTAGGCCTTCTATCTGTTATATATAGCTGGCCTTGGTTGATCTGATGGTAGGATCCAAACCATTGCACTTTAACAAATATGAGTTTAGCATGGAAAGCATAAAAATGATGTTTATAAAATATGTTGAATTGTATGGGTTTTCTCATCTTGCCTAAATTTTGTGGATGACATGTAAGTTTGAATATCAAAAACTAGGCAACAAGGTTGTATTGTAGTACGTTTTTATTGATAAAGGCGAATAAGAAATGCATGCAACTTTAACTAGTTTCATGTTTGAGCACAGGTCTATTATCCAGTATCTATATTCAGTATTATTAAGTGCTACTTCACTATAAATCCCCTTGGTATAACACTGCTCTATTTATAATGCAAGTATGATCATGGATTCCCTTTAAATGGTTTTGATTATTTGCATTGTCATTACTTGATGGTATTGTCATTTTGCATATTTTATTTTATATGAGTGCAATGAGTTTGTTATGATATAATATTATCCATTCATCTCTCTATGTCTGTTAGCAATTTACTTCCTGCACAATCATTTCATTTCCAACCATCTATAGTACTTTGTGGATGGTCTGCACATGGGATATGCACATGGGATATAGATAAACCCAATATTGATTGCATGCTCAAAATATGAAGATGACTTTTAACTGAGGAAAGAAATAAAGCCTCCATGTGGCAGCTTGAGTTGTCTATTATCTACAGTTACCAAACTTTGCAGATAATAATCACATGGGGTGAAGAAGAAAGCTACCAATTTATGGGTTAAAAAAGTCAAAGATCAAGGTCACAGATACTGAAGAAATAAAATGTTTCTGCACAATAGTTTGATTTCTCCACCATATACATTTACTAAACTTTATGGCTCTCTTGCACCTTTGGTTAGGAAGAACATTATTGATTTTGGATACAAAAAGGTCAAAGGTCAAGATCACTATGACTGAAAAAGAAAAGTTTTCTGCATGATAATGAGGGGTTGCCATCATGTACAATTACCAAACATTGTGGATGGCTTGCTCTTATTGTTATTATGAACTCTATTGATTTTGGAGTCCAAAGATAAAGGTCACTGTGAATGAAAAAAAAAATTGTTCCTGCACACGAATATTAGTTCCATATGACATACCTCAACCAAACTTTGTAGACAGATCATGGAAGAAGGCTGGTAGGTAGCTGCTAAAGATAGTGCACTTTAGAAAAATTCAGTCTGATTTTTGGAGCACAAGAAAGCAGTCATTTTAGTTAGCAGTGTGCTAAAATTATTTGCAATTTGCAAGTGTACAATATCGAAAGAAATGTCAACCACATAACATTAAAGTAGGATAGAGGTATGCTAACCTTCTCTCTACTGTGCAGGTTTTATATGCAAACAACTTCACCATACATACATCACTCTCTCAACATAATAACTAGTGAGTATCCCCATAGTGGTAGATCTGCATTGAACAAGCCAGTTTGTTCATTGAGTTCCCAACCCCATAGAGATAGATCTACTGCAGACAAGCATGCATCAGTTAAAAGATGTGAAACTCTTTTTGCATATTTTAAAGTGCTTGTATTCATTACAGTTCATAATCAACCATTCTTCTTTGATGCAGATCAGTTGATTATTAGAGATATTATTGCTTCATGAAATTGCTGTATGAAAATTTTCACAATTCTAGGAAATATTAAATATACATGAATTCTAATGAATTGCTGACTAAAATGAATGTCAGCCTTTGTGTGATTTGTGTGATTAGGATTTTTAATGTAGCTTTAAAATATTTTTAGTCATATTGCAATGATGTTTACAGTGTGACAGTAATGTCTAGCACTGAGGCATCATTGTAACTGCAGACATGTAGCATGATGTCCCAACCAGTCACATTATCCTGAAACCAGGCCGACCAGTCCTAACATTAACCTCTTAATGCTGAGTGCATAGTGAGGCAGCTGTGAGTACCAGTTTTAGAATTCTTTGGTATGACTTGGCTGGTATATGAACTCACGACATCCCTCATATAGGGTGGAAGCTCTAACCACTGGGAAACTGGAGCGGTGAGCCTTTGCACATCTGCAATGGTAATAGATACCACACAACATCACTTGGAATCTGAATTCATCATTCCATTTGTTGGGTTAAATCATTTCATTTCACATGACATTTTAGTTAATACCACATCATTTGGAATCAAAATTCATCATTCAGTTTTGTTTGTTAAATCATTTCATGTGACACCACATCATTTGGAATCTGGATTTATCATTTCATTTGCTGGGTTAAATCATTTGATTTCATATTACATCATATGAGTAATGTAATTTTGGCGGTGACGGCTGCCCATACATTTTGTATATTCAACAATAAGTAAAGTCAAACTGCAAACAAGTTAATCCTCATCTGTTTTATAATTTGCTAGTAAATCAGGGTCAGTGTTGTTTGTTTTTCTCACTGTCCATCAAAATGGATGTTAAATTAGTTCTGTAGATCTTTCTGTCCACTCTTGAATATTGTCTTCCCACATCTTTCTCTGCCTGCTTTTCATTCTTCTTCCTTATACAGTGCCTTGCAGGATTGTATCTTGGCAAGTCCTGATGATTGTAAGACATGCCCATGCCTCTGTAGTTTACATTTTTCAGTGGTCAGGAGGTCTTCATAAAGCCCAATGACTTTTCCGGTCCTTTGCCGTATTTCTTCATTTGTGACATGGTCTTTGTATGAGATGCTGAGGATCTTTTAGAAGCATCTCATCTCTATGACCTGTATTCTTTTCTCTAAGTCAGCTGTTATAGTCTATGATTCACAGGCATAAAAAAATATGGATATCACAAGTGAGTGCATCAGTCTGACCTTTGAACTGAGTGTGATGATCTTGTCACTCTAGAGGGGCTTCAGTTTTGTCAGTTCTGTCTGTGCAATCTTTGGAGAGTACTTCAAGCTTCGATCCTTTATCTGTTACAATTGCCCCAAAATACTTGAAGCTGTGGACTGTTTCTAGCTTCATGCCTTGGACCCTGATGTCAGTGTTGATGCCATGGTGTTGTAGGTCATCAATTGTCTTCTCTGTACTGATTTCCATGTTCTCTGTACTGATTTCCATGTCGTAGGCTGCAGAGGTTTTGTCAAGGCTCTCTATTAAGCTAGCTAGTTCTTGCTCATTTCCTGCTAGTCCATCAATGTCTTCAGGCAATCATAGGTTGGTTACTGTTCTGCCTCTGATGCTGTCTCTTGATTCAAGCATGTCAGCCATAATTCTCTTCAGAAAGATGTTGAATAATATGGAAGAGAGCAGGCACCTACCAATTTCAATGATTGCAATGTTTATGCGATAAAAAGTGCAAATAACTTAGTAATTTCATTCATTGATTTATAATTTCTAAACTGACTAACCACTTGTGCTTTTCATTTTTTGAATCAGTAGGAGTGGGGTACAAAACAAATGGGGAGGTATTTTCAGACTTAGTTCTGATGAAAACCATGATTGTCAGCTCTCTGCATCATCTTTTAATAGAATTCTAGCCCCTTATTATCAGACACATCACATTTGATTATGCATGGTAATTCCCTTTATTAGAATTGGGTACTCAGCTACATTTTTATGATATCTTGATTGATGTCTGTTTGTAGCATTCTGTGTCTTCATTGGGCAGAGGTATAGCCACTAATTTTCAGCATTTCCTCACAATTAAGCCTCTAATTACAATTGGGTTTCATTGTTCTGGTGGCCTAGTGGTTAGAGAGTCTGCCTCAGATGCAGGAGGTTGTGGGTTCAATCCCCAGTCAAGTCATACCAAAGACTTACAAAAATGGTACTAACAGCTGCCTCGCTTGATGCTCAGCATTAAGAGGTTAATGTTAGGACTGGTTGGCCTGGTGTCAGGATAATGTGACTGGGTTGGAGATGATGCTACAGGTCTGCAGCATGATGCCCATCTGCCTCGGATGTGGGAGGTCATGGGTTCGATCCCCAGTCAAGTCATACCAAAAACTTACAAAAATGGTACGAACAGCTGCCATGCTTGATGCTCAGCATTAAGAGGTTAGTGTTAGGACTGGTCGGCCTGGTGTCAGGATAATAGGACTGAGTGGGACATCATGCTACATGTCTGCAGCATGATGCCACAGTGCTAGACATCACTATAAACTGCCACACTGCAGACATCATAGTGATATGACTGAAAAGTTATTAAAGCTACATTAAAAATCATAATCACATCACACATCACAATTAGGTTTCAACTATATTTGAAATGCAGCTTAATTATTATCATACCTTAGGTCACTTTTGCATCATTTAATGCAGTTGCAACCCGTGATTTCCAGACCTACCCACTTTTGTTTGCACATTATAAGTCCTATAATTATTTCAACCAGATTGTATTGGCATGTTGATATTGTTTAGACCTCAGCTTAATTTAAATATCAGCATTCTAAATTTCTACATAGTTAAAACTCTAGGTCTTAAAACATGTAACACAAAAAAATGAAACCAAGAATTGAAGTAAAGTCAACAAGCAATTCTTTTCTCTACAATACAAAATGAAAATTCAAAAGACACTTATAATATTGTGAATAAGATTTGAAATAATCCTGAATGTCCTTTCACAAGTACAGAAGTATAGAATGTACCAAATGAATTAGAATACTCTGAAATGGCCTGATATAACACAATAATGCAAATCCAGGATGTCTTTGAATGAGATCACAAAAATCAAATGTAATATGTTAATCCACAACTCATTGAGTACTTTAGTAATTCCAATGAATATTTTAAATAGTTCCTTCTTTAGTTATACATGTACCTTATTTCAACAACATAACTGTAAACTCTGATCAGAATGGATTCCCACAGACTGACCTGAAACAGGAATGAATTATTTCCTTATAAGACCCCTATTTATATACATTTTCACTAATCTTTTCATCATATTAGAATGTGAATTACTCCAGAGGAGTAACCTAGTCAACAAGACTATTAACAAGAGTGGTCTTGAAATCATATGCTATATAAACAAAATGTTTACAACTAATAGTCATGGACAGAAATTAAGTACACAATATTAAACAAATAAACATAATGATGTCTTCTGATTGATGCTTCTACTCACTTTAATTTTATCAAAGCATTAACTTCTTAGTTTTATAAACAACTTGATATTGGTAGGACCATATCAGTGTCGCTATCAGCATTGTTTGTTATTATTTAGCAGAGTTATATCCCTTTGTTGTCAGACTAATTTCTGTACAGTAACTCAATTATTCCCTCACTTTAGAATAGAGTAGAGATATTTTCATTACCACTATGCATTCATTTTTCCCTCTGGACCATTGTTGTTGATAAAGAGTTGTTAATTTAGGTAATTTAACTAGTCATATATTTTGATGATTTGGAGGATTTTTAAAACTTTTTGTATGCAAGATATTTGGTTTGTGAAAATGCACATACAGGTTCTTTTCCATTCTATTTCTGGGTTTATTTCATTAATTAATGTCAAAATGGCGGTATTTTGTGAATTCAGTTCATTGTTGTTTGTTCTCCAACATCTGTAGGAGGATTCCATTGAAACTTTTTTGTAAGCTAGATAGGTTATTTGTATTGGTGTGCAATATGATTTGACTTTTTTCTTAAGGCACATTTTTGGGAAAATGTTTTAAAAAAATTGTTCCCCCCACCCCCACCCCCATCTCTGGCAGTTTACTAAGAAGTATGATTCATTGCTGTATCAAGTGTCTCTGTGCTACTCTGGATCCAGGGTGAATATAATTCCCATCTACAGTTGGTAATTGGAAATATATGATAACAAACATGATGCCATAATGTTTCTTTTGATATCTTCAGTCATTCAGAATATTTTTCCTCTTTTCATTGGTTGCTCAAAATTTTCATCATTTAGGTATATCTTTTGGTATATCTTCTATCTATCATATCCTTGTTTGTTTTGTATTCAATATATTCATCCTAATCCTTGCATAATTTTTTTTTCCCTTTTATGTAATTGGAGAGTGTGAGTTTATCACTAGTTAAATTGCACTCCTTTTTTCCCCCACACATAGTAACCAGTGTTAGGGTAAGTATTGCTTGGGTTGATTTTTTTAATTTGTAAATATATATTTTTAGCTTGTCAGCATTTATTGTGTGGGTATATACAGTTATAAAAGTCCAGTTGGAACATGTACCCTCTTCTTCTAGAGTAGGATCATTCATTGCTATATGGACGGAGAAGTCAGCTCCAATGAGGGTGTGATCTTTGGCATTGTGTGATGGAGGGATGTCACTACCAACAATGGCTTGTCCTGCCTTTCTCATTTATGGCAAATGGTGTCTTTTTGTCACTCAAGTAGACTTAAGTTTACAGATCAAGGGGATTTATTTCATTGGATTTATATTTCTCAAATAGAAATTCTTGCATTAGTTCTTCATTAACATAGATCATTTGTCCTAGCACTGGATCTTGACCACTGGTCATGGGAATGCTACTAATAAATCTCAACATGGTAATAGGCTCTGGGCTTGAATCACCCATCTACATAAAGGGATTGGCTTGACTCTCATCCCAGGGTACTGTTACATTAATATATGCTGGGTTTTACTGATAAAATTTGCCTCTATTAAGCAAAAAGATGAGGTAATGCTGGTATTCATGACCAATAAGCAAAAATTTGTTTTAAGTCTTGAAAGTTGACTGTCTGAACATCAAAGTATTTGAGAAGCCGAATTATTCTTTTCATACAGTTATATCTCTGCCGACTTTGATCTGTGATTGGGGGATTTCAAAAGGGCCCTGACTTTCCTTGAAAGGGCACCAAAGCAAAAGGTCTGTTTTTATTTACTCAAAGTGTGCATACTACACAATAAACCTGTGCAAGAATAAAATGATAAAATTTCAAGCAACAAGTGAATACACGTGTATGTGTTGTTTTGTTTTTTTGCAGGTGGGTGGGGTGTAGTCTGCACTCTATCAACCCCAACTCCCCCAATCTGGTTCAGAATAAATACTGTTAATGAGGAGAGAGCTCAAAGTAGCTTATGATTATTGCTCAATTTTCCATATATCTAGTTTAGTTGCATGTGTGTAATGATATGTAAGGATGTCTTGCTCATTCTCTCAGAATTTTCTTGTGTGTGTGTGTGTGTGTGTGTGTGTGTGTGTGTGTGGAATTAATCATGCATGATGAAAAATAGCACTATTTCATGTCAGAACTCTTGTATATGGAAAATAAACAAAATCTGCAGTTTTGTATCAGATGGAATCTCAAGCTTGTGTTGAAAAAAAATGGATTGATGAAAAAAATTGATTACTCAGTTATATGGCTTTTGATGCAAGCAGATGATGCCAAATTATTGTATTCAATTTGTACTTAAAATGTAGAATGTCACGTTATAACCTGTTTAGAATCAATGTACATTAAGGACTGGTTGTGCCTGAGAGGACATATTTGTGGCATAATACGGTAAATCAGATAAATCTGGTATACTCTTCAGGCTGTGGAAAACTCTCCAAGGAGTCTCAAGTCATTATTGTTAATCCTCCTCCTATTTCAGTGGCACCTGATCCTCCATGTTTTCTATGGTGGCAGAAAAATAATAGGTTTCTCTTGCCTGGGGGAAGCCACTGTTAACAAGATATTGCCATTAGCCTTGTGATTGCCAGATGTCTTATCATCACCCTTGCAGTTATTTCCTGACAAAGTTAGACATACATCAGAAATCATACATTTTATAGCTAAAAACAAGTTTTCACATTAAAAGGTGGTGGATTTCAGCAGCCATCACTTTTATTTGAGATTTGAGTGAAGTTTATCTCCCTCAAGTTGGTCATACAAGTTTTTAAGTTTTTAATTGAATAAAGCTTGTTCTGAGAGCAAGTATACACCAACTTTACCTAAAATTACAAGACAGGGCTGATCATGAAATAAATATTTTAAAGTGATGAATGGAGGTCTGCCTTTTGTATAATGGGACAGACTGTCTTTCATATTAAAATTTGCACTTCTAGGGTAAAATAGAGACAAATTTGTTTAAAGATAGTTAGTTAAGTGGGTCATGGTTTGGCATTGGTAAGAGTTAAATTTCAGCATGTCTTTTATGTAATGTTTCTAATTTTTATGTAATGTTTCTAATTTTTCATGCACTGTTCATAAATATTATAATTGTTGTCTCTGCTCATTTATGTTTTGGAAACTTTAGATACCTAAAAACTGATCAATTTATTGTAACCTATGTGTGTAGACCTAAGTGGTTAGATTGTCTGCCTCAGATGTGAGAGGTCATGGGTTTGAACCCTGGCCAAGTTATACTAAAGACTTTTGAAAATGGTACTAGCAGCTGCCTCTCTTGGCACTCAAAATGAAAATGTTAGTGTTAGGACTGGTCTGCCTGGTGTGAGGATAATATGACTGGGTGGGACATCATGCTACATGTCTGCAGCATGATGCCCCAGTGCTAGACATCATTATAAACTGCCAACACTACAGAAATTATAGTGATATGACTAAAATTATTAAAGCTACATTAAAAATAAGAAACATAAACACACAAACAAGTGACTAAAAGACTTACCATATAGACTTGTTTGCAAATCAAGTCAAACTACAAACAACATAATTGGCCATCTTACAACGTGCTTGCTGATGAGAGTCCATTTTGTTTATTCTACTGATTATTTTTTTAATCTCATTAAAATCAGATCACTGCTGTTCTATGTGACTTATTAGGGGTCATGTTTGGTGACCTATGTTATAAGTGTAATCACTAATTTTATCAGCCAATCAGATGAAGACTTATACA